TATATATATATATATATATATAAATCTTTTCTGTTAAAATCGATTGTATAATAATTTTTGTTAAATTAACATAATTAAAAAAATATTTTTGATTATTTAAATATATATAATTATATTTTAATAATTATATATACATGTTTTAAATAATTAATTTATTAAAATTATTAATAGCTAATACATAATTTCTAAAATTTTAAATTTTAATCTGTAAAATTTGTTCGAATATGAATAAAAATTTCACAATAAATTTAAAAAATACGTTATATAATATTTTTCATGATACAATGAGTATAATAAAATTAATATTAAGTAACATATTTAAATATAACATAGTTAAAATATTAATTTTATAGGTTAAATGTTTACTCAAAAAAGTGCGTATTTAAAAAATTTGTATTATATTATTATTGAAATTCCAAAAATTGACTAAAAAAAAAAAATGTATAATAAAAAGTTTAATATAATAAACAACAATTATTTATTTATAATATGGGGTTTGACAATGCATTTGATATTTTTATGGGGTGTACTCGATGTTAATTTTCATTCTCCCATTATTCAAGAATTACCAAATGTATCAATTTTAAAAAATGCACCAGCAAAAAGATTAGTTTTATTTATAGCAGATGGTTTAAGATTTAGAACATTCATTGAAGCACCACCAAAATTTCTGAAGTAAGTATTAATTTATTTTTTATATAAAAATTTATTTTAAATTAAAAATTTTAGTATATTTAAATTAAAATATGTAATAACAATATATAAATAATATTTTTTTATAAAAAATGTATATAATAATAAAATTTTGATAAGTAAAGTAAATTTTGATAAAGTAAATAAAATTTTGATTTAGACATGTGATGACAAATAAAGGTGTTTGGGGTATATCTCATACACGAGTACCAACAGAATCTAGACCAGGTATTGTTGCAATTTGTGCAGGATTATATGAAGATCCCAGTGCTATATTTAAAGGATGGAAAGAAAATCCTGTTGATTTTGATTCTATTTTTAATCAAAGCTATCTTTCATGGGCATGGGGCAGTCCTGACATTATACCTATATTTACAAAAGGTATCATAAATACATATTTGAAATAAAATTTTATATAAAATAAATTTATTTATTATATTAAAAAAAAGTATAAAAGAAAGTAATATTTCTAACAATAGGTATAAAAGGAAATATATATGGTGATAGTTATCCCTCTGAATGGCAAAATTTTGATATTATACATGGTAAAATTTGGCGTTTAGACTCCTGGGTATTTGACAAATATATTGAATGGTTAAGAGAAGATGCTCACAAAATTAAAAATGCTGAACGTATTATTTTGTTTCTTCATCTTCTTGGTTGTGATACTACAGGACATGCAGTAAAACCTTACTCAAAGTACTGAAAATAAGCTATTTTATACTTTTGATAACATGAATGATATATTTAATAAAATTGTAATTTCATTAGCTCTAAATTATATTTGAATGTAGAGAATATATTGCTAATATGAATTATGTTGATCGGAAAATAAAGGAAGTAGTACAATTAACAGAAAATTTTTTTGGAGATAATAGTACTGCATATATTTTTACATCTGATCATGGAATGACTGATTGGGGATCACATGGAAGTGGTTCTGCAGATGAAACAGAGACACCATTAATTGTTTGGGGTGCAGGAATTAATACATTTAATTTTCGTCAAAATGTAGAACAAATTGATATTACACCTTTAATTTCTACTTTAATTGGTGCTCCGATTCCAATTAACAATGAAGTATGTATGTGCAGAATAATATCAATTTTATTATATTTTATTTTTTTAAATATTTACAAGAATATAATAAATAATTTTCCAGGGTGTATTACCTTGGCAGTATTTAAATGTTACTAATCTTAAATACATAAATTATGCACTGCTAAATAATTTAAAACAGTTAACATATCAAGTAAAAGCAAATCATAAAATGAATTGTGAAGATAATGAACATGCAGATTGGAGAGAAGTAGAATTAGATAATAAAATTGTTACTTTAGATAAAGATCTTGAAACAACAGATTTAAATGAAAGACTAAAGGAAATTATTAACTCAATTAAGCTAGCTAAAAAGTCTTTGTTATATTTTCGACAATATCAAAGAACACGATTTTTATTATATTTATCTATAATGTGGCTAGGATGGATAATATCATTATTTTTCAAAATAACTGGAGTTAATCGACCTGTTATACATTCATTTATTTTATTAATCACAAATATTGTATTTCTAATTTTAATAATTACAATATTTATTATGTACAAAGGTATGTTATATAACATATAATTTAATTGCTTATAAAAAAAAAATTATTAGTTTTCATTTTAAGTAAAATATTTTCAGATTGTAATAATTGGAGATTATTCTATTATACATTTTTAGCTATAGTTTCTCTCTGGTTAGTTATTCGAAATGCAATCACATATACAATAAAATTAAAAATTTGTAATAATAAATATTATTGGACATTAATTGCAGAAATAGTTTTTTTATTGATAATAATGTTCATTGGCTTAACATATAGGTCTGTTCTTAGTATAGGAATGTTATGCATTATTTTAACTCAAAAGATAGTATTAAAAAATACTCAAAATTTATTTTTCTGGACAGCTTTATCTTTAGCTGTTTTCCCATTGCTACCTGTCGTAGAACCATATCCTCGGATTTATATCGTGTAAGTTTAAAATTGTAATATTAAATCAAATTTTTTTTTAATTAAATATAATTAAAATATATTTTTTTTCAGAATTCTTAGTATGTGTATTGTAACCATAATAATTATATTAAAGATACAATCGAAATATAGAAAAGCAATCGAAATTTTCCGATTAACAATTACAGGATTAATATATTTGGAATTTATAGATGGTCGAAATTGGATATCATGGACAATTTTATTAACAACACCATTATATATTTGCATTTATCCTATGCAATCAAAAGAAAGAATGCAAGGAATTATGTTGGGATTTTTTTGTCCATTTGTTTTATTATCTGCATCTTATGAACCTTGTTTTTTTATAATTCTTGCATTACATTTATCTTGTTGGTTACAATCTAATTCTTCTAATCAATATCATCAAAATACTAAAAATGCTTTGACAATGGAAGAATTGCTTAAAGCAGCAATCTTTGTATCCTATATTAATATGATATTCAAATTCAAATTAAACTCTTAAATCAATAATATCCTGAACAATTTATCATAGATGTTATACACATTGCTATGTTTCTTTGGAACTGGAAATATGGCAAGTATCAGTTCATTTAATCCTTCTTGGACTCGTCATTTTGTGACAGTTTTTTCTCCATTTACAATGTTTTTATTAATACTTTTAAAAATATGCATACCTTTAATTCTAATTGGATGTATAAGTCATATATTTGGAGAGTCTTCAAGCATCTTTTTTGGAGTACTTTTACTGGGAGATTGTTTATCATTACCACTTATGTTTTATGTTACTCCTCAAGGAAGTTGGCTAGATATTGGTAGTGCTATAAGTAGATTTACAATTGCGATTTCCCTTCCATGTCTTATATTATTATTACATTATCTTTCATATCCTTTAGTAATGCTTTCTCTAAATAAATTTAAATTTTATATTAATTTAAAAAAAAAACATATTGTATAAAAAATATAAACTATGTAAATAAAATCCATGATTTATTTATAATAAAGTGATCAAGTAAATATAGTTATGTTTATTTGATTTAATAAAAAAGTGTTACATTCTTATTTACTTTTCAGAAAAAAACTAACGTATTTCTATATTTTAAGAATTTGAATCTATAATTATTTTTTCTAAAAAATAAAATATAAAATTTGATACTTTACTAATACTAATATCAAATCTTATAATGTTTTAATAACAATAATCTAATATTTAAGAATTTCTGGATGAGATATATAATATTAATATCATAATATAATTTATATATTCTTTAAATAATTTGTTTTTTATTTAATTAAATCTAGAATTTAAATTCTTTGTATTTCTTAGAGGCTTTTGAATCTTGACTTTGTTGTCGTTTGCGTTTACTCTGTAAAAATAATCAAAATGAATTTAATACATATTTATTAATTAGTTTTTAAATAAAATAAATAGTTTTTAAATAATTCAAAAATATGCTTACTTTTTGTCGTTGCACATGATCCTGAAGCATATCTGATAGATCTTCTCTTCTTAAGTGAGCTTGTCGCGATCTCATTGTTTCTTCATATCGTGATGCCATTGCTTCTGAATCTAAATCTAATTCACTTGGATCTAATGCTAATTCAACAGCTCCATCTTTTTCTGTTCTTCCATCTGATGTTGTTCCACTTACTCCACGTCGTGCAGCAATTACAGATGGTGGTGCTTGACCACCTGCTGCACCAGTCATATCATAAACATGTGTACTACCCATCATGCTTGCTCCAAGACCTTCTGTTCTTCTTTCTTGCAAAACTGTATATAAAGCAGGAGTATCACCTCCTTCCATTTCACTTTCAATTTTCTTTTTTCTTAATTCTATTGTTTCTGGAGTTTCTAATCCTGCAGGAATTGATGTTATTCCACTAGGTGTTATTAAACCTTCTGCACCAGGTGTAACCAAACCACTTGCATCTCCATCTCCATCCTTTCCTTCTCCTTCACCTTCTCCACCTTCTTC